CCTCGGGACCCGCTCCGCGCCCATCACCGCCGCGCCGGGCCTGCTCCCGGCCGTCCCCGTCCCCCGGGCCTGCTCCGCTCCGCGCCCGTCCCCATCACCGCCGCACCGGGCCCGCTCCGCTCCACGCCCATCCCCGCTGCCCCGGGGCCCGCTCCGCGCCCGTCCCCGCCGCGCCCGTCCCCGCCGCCCCGGTTCGGTCCCAGAGGAAGCGCCGCTTCCTGGCCAGACGCGCTGTCCCGGCGGGCGGAGGAGCCCCCGGCCCGTAGATGGGGTCTCAGGTCCCGGCCCCGGAACAGCTGCAGGGCGTTGAGCCCGAGGCACGTCCCGTGGGAAGGCAGCTGGATGCGCCCGGTAGCTGGTGTTACTGCAGCGACCTTTGCTAGTGGGAGATCCTGGGCGCTGGCTGCTCCTGCCCGGGTAGCTGCGCTTGTGTGGTGCAGCGGGGAGCGGAGCCGGCAGGCAGGGGACTTACAGCCAGCTGGGGAGAGATGCCTCTGGGACAGCCTGTGCCAGGCTGGGCTTTTCGCGTCAGGGAGCGGTACCCTGGCACCTATGGTGCTCTGTTTGTTCCTCCCCAGCTCCCCGGGAAGAAGGACCTGTTCATTGAGGCAGATCTGATGAGCCCCCTGGACCGAATCGCCAACGTCTCCATTCTGAAGGTACCCGCAGGTGCACTCTGGCCAGGGCAGCACTGAACCAAGGCCTTGCTTTAGGGCACTGGGCAGGCTGGCTGGCTGCGGGCCACAGGCAGCTGCTCTAGTGGTTTTGCAAATACAGTGAGTTCCACCTCATCCACATTCGTCCATGTGGGCGGCCCTGTTCGCAGAACTGTATTTCTCTGCACAGGGGGGCCCAGGACTAGATCGATGGCAGTTCTGGGGGCTGCAGGTCAGGCCTGAGAGAGGTTGACAGAGCTGTGTGTAGGGAGTTTCCTGTATTAGCCCATAGTGGAAACCTCTTGTTCCATGTCTACAGTGCCATGTGTGGTGATCACTTCACACACGGCATCACCAGGTCGCTGCCCTGTCGAGCAGGCAGCTGCGGGGCGCAGACTCACAGGAGGGGGATCTGGCTTTGTGCAGCAACCGGAGGCCTATGAAGGGGCTTCTGGAATCAGCTACAAAAGCTACTCCAGTCTGTGCAGGGTTTGTAAGTTAACACTCTCCTCCCCTCCTATTTCTCTAGCAACATGAAGTGGACAAGCTGTACAAAGTGGAGAACAAACCCATCGTTAGCACTAGCGACCAGTGAGTCTCTTACCTGACCCCCATGGCTCTGTGTGGGTCATACCTGGAGCCTGCCCAGCTGCAGCTGTACTCTGCACCTCCACAGGCTTGACCAGACGCACTGCACTGCCCTGTGCCCAGGGGTCTGCCTCTCCGCAGTGCCGTGTCAGGCGCATGCCCTCTCCTCTGTGCCCTTTCAGCCTGGGCCATGGCTCTGAGTAAGCTGAAGGGCGTGGGCCTGGTGCTGGCTGCCAGCACTGCAGGGGAGTGAGAGCTGAGAGGCTGCTGTGGGACTTGGGAGCAGGGATACACTTGGGGGTTTGGTGATGTGACAAGCGGAGCTCAGGCAGCTAGTCTGGGGGCTGCGTTCCCATCTCCTACCTTCAGCTCAGGAAGCTGCCTGCCTCCCTGGGCCTGCTTTCGCTGTGTCTCTGGCTTACCAGGGAGGGCCCCAGCATGGCATTCATGGGCGGGAGGAGGGGAGGGTTCCAGGAGTGTCGGGTCCTATTTCTGCTGCCGGTCTTGTGTCCCTCCCCACCTCCCAGTTGGTGAGTCTCTGTCTGCCTCACTCCAGGTTGTGCTTCTTAGTCCGGCCACGGATCAAGAACATGAAGTACGTTGCTGGTGAGTGGGAGCTGTTGCTTGCCATGCAGATATCAATGATTACTTATGTAGGGCCCGTAGTATGGGGTGGCTTCTGGGTAGGGCTGGCTAGCAGACTCCACTGTCTGGTGCCGGGGATATTGGCGAGTGTGTGAGGAGGGCAGTTACTGTCCCGGATTGTCGGGCTCTGGGTAATCCTTGGGTAGGGGTGAAGTTAGTGCTGGGCAATCCCCAGAGGCGAGTGCTAGCATCCGGGCATAGGGTGACTTGGAGCTCAGGGCCAGAGGCTGAGTGCACACCCTGAAGTCTGCTGTCTTGTCTGGCTGGTGTGTCACATGCCCTGTGAGATCACAGGGCCTCAGGTTTGTCTACACAAGAGATATTGCACTGGTTTAACCATAGGGTTTTTAGTGGCTCTAGTTAACCAGAGTCTTGTGTCTGCAGATATTGTCAATGCTGACAAGGCGATGGGGAGGAGCCGGAAGTACAAGATTATCTTCAGCCCCCAGAAGGTCAGTGTGGCTGCCCTGCCCACCCAGCCTTCCCCCACCCCTTCACACCTGGCCTGTGTCCGACCCCCTCCCCATCTACCCAACCCCTCCTCCTTCACACCTCCACATCTCTCACACGCAACCTTCCTTTCCTCCTTCATGCCTGCCACCCATCCAGTCCCCTCCCGCCCCCACTCTCCTGCACACCCAGGCTTCCCTTCCCCACAAAGTCAGAATAACCAGTTCCCAGTTTCCTGTCCAGAAGTTTGACACCTAACCCAAATGTTGCCATGTCTGGCAAGGCGCAGCGAAGAGGGCCAGCCCGAGGCACTGCCATGGAACCCTTGGTCACACCCCACTGGCCACGGTGCGGGCACTGCCTGGGCACTAACCAGCCTCTTCCTCTCTTGCAGTTTTACAGCTGTGAGCTGGTGCTGGAGGAAGAGGGAATCTATGGTGGTGAGTGGGGAAGGTGACGTGACAGGCACTGTGGGACCGCAAGGGGACGTCGTTCAGGTCATTGCCTAGATCCAGCTTGGTGGGGAAGCTCAGACAGCAGAACACCGGGGCTTGTTCCCTACAGAGTAGGCATCTGTGTGCCGTCCTGGTGTGGGGACGGGAATGCAAATGACAGTGCTCCGGAACATCCCCCGATGGGACACAGACCCACCATCCCGATGGGACACAGACCCACCATCAAGGGGGGAGAGGCTGGGCCCCCTCCAGGACCTGTCGTACAGGGAGAATGATGGGCAATCCTGCTCCAGCACCACAGCAAATAGGCCCCCCCCGAAAGTCCAGCTCCTGCAGGGCCTGCGTGTTAGAGCCCTCGGGCCATTGCTACAGCGGGTCCTGGGACTACATTGCCTCTGCTCTCTTCTGTCCCCACCTCAGATGTGACCTGTGACGAGTGGGCCTTCTACCTGCTCCCCCTGGATGATGATCTCCTCAGCATGGAGCTGCCGGAGTTCTTCCGGGATTACTTCCTGGTCAGTGGCATAGTTCCCTGGGAAATCACCCCTGCAGCATCACAGCAAAGCCATGGGGAGAGTGAGCTGGGGGGC